TCCCTTCGAGAGAGGCGCGGACCTTTCTGTTTCCGCGGGGAGGGAGGAGGCCGGGCGGGCTCGAGTGGGGAAGCTCGCCTGAAGGGAAGCCCGGAGGCAGCGCTTTCTAGTGCGCCCACCGCCTGATTCTAACCTCGCCGTATCGGCGGGAAGTCCCGTTGGCTTCAAGGGGGGCGGAACTTCAGGGCCACCCAAAAGCGGGAGCGCCCCAAAGCCTGGAGTCCCTCCTCGGCCGCGGCTTTCTCCCCCGGCTTCGCTTTCCCTCTCCCGCCGCTCTCTCCTCCCTCGTTTGCCGAAGCCGCCCGCAACCGACTTCCCTTCGGTCGGGAGGGGCTGCTGCGGAAGCGCCCCGAAGCCCGGCGGCCCGCTCTGGTTAACCAACACGGCGCTCGCCGCCAGGAGGACCGATCGCCCTCGACGGGCACTTCCGACGCCGACCCAGCGCTCCAGGCTTCAGCTGCAGGAGCTACGAACCCGGAGCCGCTCCTCCTGGGAGGCGAAGCCTTGGAGGCCACGAGTGCGGATCTCGCCTCCGGGAAAAGCTCCTTGGAGGGAGGTGCTTGCTTGCCGGGCGCCAAACGGGCCCGGAGTGCGAATGCTTCGAGCGGCTGCGTGCGTCAAAACCTCTGTCCCCAACCCCTGCCACAAATAAAGTTTTTGCTACTCCCTAAATCCATAGCACATAAATATTTCTGCGATCTAGACCTCATGGAAAGCGAATGGAGGGGGAGAAATCCCAGGCGTCCCCGTCGGATCAACCTCCCGGACGCACCGATCTTCTTCTGTTCCCCTTCCCCAGTAACCAGTTTCAAGTCAATACTCGCTCCTATTGTGATTTCATTAATCAGTTTTACCAACCCAGGTGGTTTTCATTAATTTCCCTTGTCCGTCCCCGTCCCCCCCCCCCCCCACCCCACAATCCCCCCCCCCCCCCCCCCATCACACGAAACCTTAGCGTGGTGTTAAAAGAACTCGACTTTTAGGGTAGGAATCACCACAAAACCTCCTGCCATTATCGATGGGGAGGAGTTACATCTGTAATTCTGAGAGGAAGGTAACGATAATAGAAGCTGTCCGCATTTCTGGAATGTCTCGTGCAGCTTTTAAATGCTTTAAATACTAATTGTAATTAAAAGTATTATGAAACCCATGGATCTTAAGCATATTTACTTAGAAGTCAAGTCCTGCTTATTTCAGAAAGATTCTTTTTCCCCCGGGAAAATGTGCTTCGAATGAGATATTAGTCAAATAGAGAGTATCAGTTGGGAGTTTAACAAAACAGACAGGCCATCAAGGCCACTGATGTAAATGGATCCTTCTGCACGCATAAGGGTCCTAACTGATCCATCCGGAACTGAATCGAAATATTTTGAGCCGAAGCAACCTGTGAGTTTCAGGAACTGGGTTTAGCTGGGCCCGCTGGGGAGCCAGTGGGATCACTATCGGCTGCTCTCCAAGCCTTCTAGCCGAGGCCAAGACCGAGCAGATGCTTATTTAAACCAGATCCAGGGCAGGTGTGGAGGGACATTTTTAAGAGGAGCCCTTCCCGCCGGTCCTGCTGATTTATCGTTTTGAACTTCGCAGGGAAGGCGACGGGGAAAAGCAGGAGCTGAAAGGCGAAGGGCGTCTCCTGGGGCAGGCGAGCGCGTGCTTATGGCTGGGCACCGGGGAGGTTCCGCTCCGCCCGCCTTTGCAGGACTTTGGCTAGTCGCGCGGGTCCCCTGGGGTTGCGGGAGACGCTGAAGTCCCGCGCCGAAGTCCTGGGCCGGGAATTCGCGTTAGCCTCTGAACTAGCAATTCGTGCTAGCAAGAGGGAAGCTGGAACTCTCGGGGGACCTAAGACGCCCCCGGCCCTGGGCAGAAGTCCATGTGGCCTCTCACCACACTCTAGGCCTGCCTGGAGGATGGCTTGGGAGCTTCATCGCCCAATTCGAAGTGTCTCCGCTTTTCGGAACGGCAATGCAGAAGAGCAATACTCTCTCGCTCCACCCTCCCACAATGACCCAAGACTTCTGCCCTCCCCCGATCTCTACTCCCCTAAGGCATTTGGAGAGTCTCCTTTACAGTCTCAAGGGCATCTAAGCGGAGGAAATTAACAAAACCTGCTGTTGAACCATAAAGAGAAGCAGACGTCCTGTCATAAAATCATGACGGATCCAGACTTCTTCATGTAGTTCTTCCCCTCTAACAAACCGATCTACAGGTTAGTTCGGTTCCAGTTTGATTCCCTTTGAAATCAACAGGATTTAACTAGGCCAGGAATAAGGTTACACTTCGACAGCGTTTATAGCCTGGGAAGTGCCCGCCGAGGTAGAGAGGATTCTGGTACCTTCCTTTCTTTGTGGATAGATATATATGATTTCAAGCAAACAGAAATCGCACTTACTTTGATTTCTTCAGCTCAAAAGGAAAAGGAATTTCAGACTCCCCTTCCCCCCCAGTCTCCAACATTTCCCAGCTGGGAAGCCCCCCAGATTCACATTACAGAGCTTTCTTTTTACGGGGCCTTCACGCTGGGTTTTCTCCGTTCACGTTATTGAGGGGCTTAGCAGCAGAGAGGTTAGAGTTTCCTTAATCCATCCCAGTACGCGCCTCTCCGCTTTCTGCAGTCTTTTCCTGTGCGCCTGCAGTGGATAACGCAATTGCGCCACAGGATTTGCCTAGTTCTTTAACTGCCTGCCTGTAGACATGATGGCCAGGGAACGCGGCAGCGGGAAACAAGCCCAGAATTGTCGACCTACTTTAGAGTTTCCCGATCGGCTGGTTTGTCTAAGGCAGAACAAAAACTGAGTCCGGTGGCACCTTTGAGACTAACAAAAGTTAGATATAAGTGTATGCGAAGTGTATCTGAAGAAGCGTGCGTGCACACGAAACTTTGTTGGTCTTAAAGGTGCCACTGGACTCAGGCTACCCCACCTGAATTTGTCTAAGGCAGTGAGCGAAGCCAAGGAGCGCAGGAAGAAATGGGGATCTCTTTGGTGCCCCAGTGACGGATGGCTTGTGAACACAGCCACGGGCCCCCCTATGGTCGCTTTCCCTCTAGTCAGAAGACCCTTCTAGCCTTCAGAAGTCTTTGGCAATGGCAATGGGGCAGAGGAAGGAGAGGGCTGCTTCAGCCTTACCTAAATCTGGAGAGGAGAAAAAGGAGTGAAAGAGCAGGGGAAAGGAATGGCCCTCCAAAGGGCCAAGGCAGCGCAGGGAAGCAGCCGGCTGAAGAGCCAGCCAGGCTACCTGGACTGCAAGCAGCAAGAGGGAGATGAGGGGGACCGCCTCCCCCTTCACCTCGGAGGCCTCCCATTGGGTGACCTGGCTCAATCTGAGAAGGGCTGTTGTGAAGACAACATGGGGACAGGAGAGCTGGGATCCCAATGGCCGGCTGCTGGGACAGACAGACAGACAGACAGACAGACAGACAGACAGACAGACAGACGAGCAGATTCCTGAGTTCATAGTATGAGGAGGGGAAAGCGCCGCCCGCAGTTCGGTTCAGGATGCGGAGCCCGCGTCAGTTTCGAGTAGGGGACAGTCAGTCCAGATGCCTCTTCCCTGTTGTTGGGCTCGATCCTTCCTGCGGAGCCTTTTAAAGTCCCGCTCAGGGGAATCGACTGAATCAAAGTAATCAGCTTTGGCTGGATCGTGCCCACACTTTCCGTCGGTCCACTGATGGACATGGCCGGTTCTGTTTGTGTCCCTGATCTGTGGCCGGGGCACGTGTTGTTCGCCTTAATGCCGGGGAAGAGGGAAAACGAACTTCCCCTCCAGATCTGCATCCTGTCAGTCAAGGATCCCAAAACTTACTTTCCTAGGCTCCCGAAGATCTAGGATTGCAGCCCCCGATCTTGAATACATTTACTTAAAAGGGAGTCTCACTGAAGCCAGGGCGATTTTTTTCTCAGTAAACATCTTTAGGATGGGCCGTGTGTGTGTGTGTGTGGGGGGGGAAGCTGAGGACGCGGACGCTGCTTGGGAAGGAGGACAAGGCGGAGAAAGGGTAAGAGCGGGATAATTCGATTGTCACTTCTCCTTATCGCTAAATCACCCTCCCAGGATAATCGTCTAAGCAAGCAGTTGCCTGCAGTTGAAACCCCGTCCTTGAAGCGTCGCCTGTTCCGGCCCTCGACGCGCCAAAGCCCGGAGGAGATGCTCGAATCGCCGCTAACAAAATGCGGCGCTTCACAGTCCCAAGTGCTGGGTAGAAACCCTGGACGCCCAGCGGCAATCGGGGGGGGGGGGGCAGCCCAGGCATCTTTCTCCGGAGCCCCCTCTCGCCACTGTCCTCCGAAGACGCTGCGGCAGGAGGATCACCGCCGGTCCCCATCAGCTGCGGGACGGTCGGAGGCGTCTCTCTCTGCCGCCGGGCATCCGAAACTGGGCAGCCGGGATCCGACCCGCGGCCATGAACAGGCAGCAAGGGAAGCTGAAGCCGGCGGACCCGAGCTTGGGAAAGCCGCCCGGAGCCAATGCCGGAAAGAAATGCTTCTCGCCTTGGAATGGGACCCGTGGCGGACTCCCGGAGCGCCTGACTCGGAGGTCTACGTCCAAGCTCGGAGGAGGCCCTGGCTGCCGAGCCGTGTGTTTCGGATCGGGGGGAAAGAGCTGAGCAGAAGCTCTTTGACTCCGATTCGACACCAGGGTGGCTCTTTTCCCCCAAATCGCCACTGAAACCCACAAGTGGTGCCCCTTCGACGAACACCCACCTCTCTGTACCCCCCCGTAAGGGAGCCTTCAGTCCTGGCTTCCTATGCCCGCTGCCCAGCCCGGTCCAGCCTCCTCCTCCCGCCCTCTACACCATGAAGCCCCGGGGAGGATGCCCGGGCGTTCTCCCTTCCAGCCGGGCAGAGGGGCAGGGGGAACCCTACACCCGCCTGACCCTTTCCCCCCCGACAGAGGAAGGAAACCGGGCTGACTTCGCATGCGCTGGCCGTGGGGAGGGGGAGGGGAGGGGGCCGGCCGGGGTCCTCGCGGGCGCTGGCAGGGCTCACCCGATTCCGGGGACTCACCGTAACAGGAGAGCTGGAGGGCTCCGTTGTGCCCGCTGGGGTCCGGCAGGGGCTTGAGGCTGCCGCCCGGAGGACTCTTCCCGGGGCCTCGCTGCACGTAGAGCGGCGGCGGCGGCTGGGGCTGCGGGTGGAACTTGCTAAAGGAGGCGGCGGCCGGAGCCGCTTGCCCGCTGCCGCCGGCGTCCAGGGCCGGGCACTCCCCCTGGCCGTAGCGGCTCCGGCACTTGGGGCTGCCGCCGCTGCTGTCGCCGAAGCCGCTCTGCCCTTTGCCGGCGAGGAACGTGGGGCTGAACTTGTCGCTGCCGCCGCCGCCGCCGGGGAATGCCCTAAAAGGCGAGGAGCCGTCGGTGGTGCCCTGCGAGGCGGCGCTGTAGAAGGAATCCATGGCAGCCGCCGGCTCGCAGAACGAGACGCAACCCTC